GATTCAGAGTATGAAAGATTTTAGAGTGTGAAAAGAAAAGAAGAAGATTAAGTTGATGTTTTATAATGGGGAAGTTTAAGCATCCACCGAATAGAGGTGTGATACGTGGAGGTCATGGATTGGTGTGATGGAGAGGTGGCGTGAAGTTAACATAGGTAATAGGCGTGACTTAGAGATAATCATTACTTATAACTGCACCACGCTGTGAAGTGACTCCGGGCGGTTAAGGAATCCAAAAGGTGCCATGATTGATGTGACTGGAGTCAAATGCATTAAATGTTATGATGATTCGAAAGTCCTATCAAAATCTTGTGTAGATGTTTAAAATAGGTATTTCTCAGAGGAATCGAAATACATATTTTAAAGGGGCAATTTGTTTGCTGAAGATTTTGATAATGTTATTTAGAAGCCAAATGAGTTAAACGTTTTGATCGAAATGGAACTAAACGTCATATTTCGAAGTAGCAGAAGCAGTGTTTCGAATAAAGTGTGTCAAGGCTTGGAGCTTCGAACGGCAATTGTGGGAACATATCTAAAGGAGTTTCGAAACAACAGCGAGGCTGTGTCTGGGAAAAGTGTTCGAAATGGAGAAACACCAAAGCATTTAAAATTCAAATGGAAGCGGGACTTTCAAAGTTTGAGAGTTATGTGTTGGAGCATTTGGGGACACGTGGAAAGATGAAAGAAGCATTGTCTTGCATGTTCGAAACGTGGCATAATCCTATAGCAAGACCGTTATGGTCGAATTAGTATAAATAGAAGTCTTAGTATTAGGATTTCGTGTGTCATATCTATTATACAAAATACTCAATAACATTCAAACTACCACATGGCAAGGGAAACGAATGCAAGAGAAATGTATGTATGATAGCACCATGTATTTCTGATTTAATGAAAACCTTTTACCATTTTCAGTACTTTCCTTTATTCCTTCTGTCAAACAACATTTACAAGTTCTCTTATTTACAGTCTTTTCACTTCGAAATCTCTTCTTCAAAGTTTTACATTTTAATGTTCTCTTTATATTTCGAGCACTTTATATTTCAGAAAACTGTCACATTTTCCATACCTTTACCTTCAAGTCTTATCCTTCGAACGCATATGTTTACTTAAAATCATTTACAGATTTCTTTCATTAAACGCTTTCTTCACATTTCAAACTTTTACGTTCCAGAAACCCTTTATGTTAACCGTTTTTGTAAGTCGAAGCCGTTTACTTCATTTTTATGCAGTTTTACATGTCTTTACAATTAGCCTTGCAATTAGCAGTTATTCGTGTAACTTAGTTTTCATACACATTTTGATTACATCTTTAGACTTTTAGAGAGAGATCGAAACAAGCCAAACACCTATGCAATATTAACCATGAATATCCGTTCGATTGTAAGAGTAACCTCAATATCCAAGGAGTCCTAGGATCAATCTAGTCGATCCTGTGAGTTACCAGAGGAATTGAATAACAGTAAGAAAGATTATTCGATAGTTTGGAAGACTAACGGTTGTTTACCAGAAATCACTGGAAACACCGTGGCAATAAAAAAATACAAGGACATTCAATTTAGGTTATTTGAAATTCATTGAATCATATAGAAATGCAGTGAGAATTGTAATTGTAATATATATTGTCAACACTAATAAGATGATCTCTTTTGGGACTTGATTGAAGAAGAATTTATGGACAGTACTAATGAAGAACTACTAATGTCAATGCTAGAGAAGGAACGTCAATCTGGAATTTCCTCTAGGCAAAAAAGAAGAAAAGTGATTGATCGAAGTCGTGAAGAAAGGAACACTCGATTATTCAATGACTACTTCTCAGAAAATCCAATATACACAGATGTTCAATTTTGAAGGAGGTTTAGAATGCACATGTATGTCTTTATTTAAATTGTAGATGCCCTTGGAAATCATGATGCATATTTTCAAAGGAAGGCCGATGCAACTGGTAAAATGGGTCTTTCACCATTGCAGAAATGCACATCTGTTATTTATATGTTGGCATATGGGTCTCCCGCTGACATTGTAGACGAATATGTTCGAATCGGTCAAAGCACTTCAGTTGAGTACTTAGAAAGATTTGTTAGGGGCGTGAATGATGTATTCGGGGCCGAATGTCTGAGAAGGCCAAACAACATTGATGTTGAACATCTTTTACAAATGGGAGAATCAAGTGGTTTTCCAGGTATGTTGGATTCCATTGATTGTATGTACTGGAAATGGAAAAATTGTCATGTTGCATGGAAAGGACAATTTTGTCGAGGTGATCATGGAAAGCCCACAATCATGCTTGAAGTTGTGGCATCACAAGACTTATGGATCTGACATGCATTTTTTGGTTTTGCAGGTTCAAACAACGACATTAATGTGTTAAACCAATCCAATATGTTTAACGATATTTTGGAAGGGCACGCTCATGTTGTGCAATATACCATAAATGGGACACCGTATAATATGGGGTATTATTTAGCAGATGGTATATATCCTGAGTGGGCTACATTTGTCAAGACCATTTCAATGCCGCGGGGAGAAAAGAGAAAACTATTTGCACAACATTAAGAATCAGCTAGAAAAGATGTGGACTGAGCATTTGGAGTGCTTCAATCTCGATTTGCAATTGTACGTGGTCCAGCGCGTGCATGACACATGGAATCTCAAGCATATCATATATGTTTGCATCATATTGCACAATATGATTGTTGAAGACGAATGAAACACATATAAAGGTGATTTTGATTACTCTTACGATAATATAGATAACAACAACTCAACAATTGAAACATTTAACGATCCTCATTCGAATCTTACAACAAGACTACAAAGAAGAGCAAGCCTTCATGAAAAACAAGTTCATCGTCAACTTCAAGGAGATCTAGTCGAGCATATTTGAGAACATTTTGGACATGAAGATGACGAAATTTAAATTTGATTAATTATATATTATTTATTTTTATTGTTTTGAATTATATGTCATATATTTGATATTAATTTTAATTATTATTTAAAATTTTAAGTTTAATTTGAATTTTATTTATTTTATATTAATTTATTTATATAATTCAAAATATTATTTTAAATTTAATTTTATTTAATATGAACAAAATATTAATGTATAAAGTAAAATTATGGGACCTAATATTAATTCTTTAAAGTTGTATAATTAAAGTGAAAATTGAATGAATTACTTCAAGATTATGTGGCTTAATAACATGTACAAAACTCGAAGATTAGTAATATTGAAGATGTTCTTAATGAAGCCTTGACAGTTAAGCTTACATGACATTTGGCTTGAAATTCAGCGTCATTATAGACATTTGAAGGAGGAGACTAGATGGGTGTTGAGAACATAGGATAAAATTAATTACTGAAATAAAAATTGGTTCGGAAAGCCTCTCAGGAAACTCTTGGATATCCTCGCTTTCAAATGATTGGATGGCCAAGCGTCAATTAGAGCATGGCATTCTTAATATCCTATAACGGTGGCTATAATATTCTGCGTTCCTAAACCTTTTCCCATGGCTGCCACACCGTTATTCCGTTAAGGCATTGTTATTGGCTGTTATTAACTATTTTCTCTTTTGTTCTCTAACAAATATGATTTGATATACATTAATGAGAAAAACTTGCATACATACGAACATAAATCTTTATTGTTACAAAAAATCAATAAAAATAAAAAAATATTTAATTTATTTAAAATTTAATTTCTTTTTAAATTGATATCATAGGGATGGTTTGATTATGAAGAAGAGAAAATATTATATTTTTATTTTTTAATTAATTAAAAAAATATGATCGGTTGTTTGTAAAATCAAATGTTATGTTTTAGTGTGCCTAAGTTTTTTCCTAAATTAACACCCTAAATGTCACTTATTTTTACTTTAAAATATCATATTTTTATTGAACATGTATGATTGATAAAATATTTGTTGATTTAAGATTTGAGTCTCGATTTGATAAGTATGGTTTGAATACTTTAGTTTGAGTCAATCTTTTAAAACTCACACAAATTATATTTGGTCATGATACGAATTAATAGATTATTGATCGAATCAATAAGTTATAGGTCGAATTGCATGACTATTAACTCTATTCTTATTAAAAGATGTGAAATAATTTAATATTTAAAATAAATTACATAAGAATATATAGTGTTATAATAACTATAATATCTTGAGACTTTGCCATAAAATTTCAATTAGTTGAGTGACAACAGTCGATTTGTCATATTCAAGGGACTTGTGTTAGATTCTGGTTCTTTTTGCATACAATAAAATTACTTTCTCTAGTTTTAATCGATAAGTTATTTTGATATCAGAGCAAGATTATGGATTCAAACTCATGGATTAACATCTCAGTCCATGGTGCCTAGGATGTGCTAGGTATAGTCCCTTGAGAGCTCTACACTATAAAAAAATATAATTGTCCCCTCACTAACAATAATTGTTTTAACACAATAGTAGGCGCTTGATCCAAGACGAACCTCCTTGATTACTGGTTTATCGTTAAATCCATCAAATTGATTGGTCCAGTCTAGATTTTAAAACATTGATTTGCGTGATTTGTCTAATTTTAATCGGTTCAGTACCAGTTTGATGATGCCATAATAGATTAAGTGCATATTTGGTCTGATAAGAGGACCAAACCGCCTTGACTACTGAATTGCGATTGAACCGATTGGATTGATTGGTCCAGATTTTAAAACACTAAGTTTGCATCTCAAATGTTTTTGAATTTCGGAGGAAATGGTCATCATGTCCAAATTGTTCAGTTGTACTATTTTGCATCTCACTAAAAACAGAATTGTTCAGTTGTACCATTTTGCATCTCACTAAAAACAGAATGGCAGTTGTTAGTATTGAGGAGGATTCTTTTGGCATTTGTGAAGGTTTGTTTGTTCCTCATTGTTCTTAGTAGAATAAACCATTTTTAGAAGTATCACGGTGTGATAGCTTTTATTTATGGGGTTATGACAATGTCAGTATGTTGCATCTCTTCCAACCTTAAACAGTTATTTTCCCCTCACCATATTGTAGAAGGAGGATAATTTGTTTGGAATGATGAGGCCAGTTTCCTTCTACAGGTTACAAAATGCAATTACATAGGCCCCAATATTGGCTTTTTCACAGGTTTTCATGTTTAAAACTGATGTATCAGGTTCTAGTGTTAGGGTTGTTCTGATCAAAGCACACGCTTATTTTTTCCAAAAAAATATCAATCTGAATATGAAAAGACAATCAACATATGTGAGGGAATTATACACAAACAACCGAAGTAATGGTGATATTTCGACACTGTATATTGGGCAACAAGCTCATAATTCAAATTGTTGCAAGTTGCAACAGATACATACAAATACAGGCACAATACATCGAGTATGATCACCGTCCAATCTTGACAATACCGAATATCCTGCGGGAATCTTTTATCAACAGCAATAATCAACACATAAGACAAGTTCTAGTGATGGAATGGTTTGACAGATTGTATTTCACCCATAATAACATTAACCTTTCATTTAAATTTTATAAACATCATTCAGATTTTTATTAAATTGACATCACTTTTCTAGCATATGATCTTTTAAAATCATTTTAGCTTATAACAAAAGAACAAGTATAGCTTAACCTACAAACTTTACCTACCTTCCAACTCTCCAATCTCCACATTACCTGGAGCCCTTTTTCTTAGAAATAAAGGAGTAAGACAAAAATTGTATTATACTGTCACCAAATAATAATAATAGTCATTAGTTAGCGAGCTAAGGGTATAGCTAGCTAAGGGAATAGATCATAGTTTGACGATAAATAATTGTAATTATATGTTCTAAGAAACTTGAAGGTAGCTTACAAAATTCTAACAAGTTTTCTTTTAATACAGCTGCAATATATATGCAATGCAGATGACAATAACAAAACAAAGGGACCATTAATAACAACTTATTACCAAACTTTCACAACTGTATTGTATCGTTGCTTCTAGAGCTACATGAATAATTTCCACCAAAGGGACCAATGTCTATATATAGCCCTTGATATAATGGATCACTTAATATCTTCTATTAGAAGTTTTCCGGTATGGACATACTTGTATTGTATCTGAACTCTGAAGGAATATAACAACCACGCAGATTCCTGCAGGTCACATAAGGTCATGTAAGAAACAAAAATATGTCAAATGACCCTTATAGAGACTCACTTTATTGATACGGCTCTTGAATTTGCATTAACAAATAAATCGTATGATCAACGATAAAGCTGACTGCTAGATACTAAATCAAAATGGTCCTATATGTGACTCAAAATGCACACAAGTCTTTTTTTAAATGTTGGCAGCTGGGCTATTGCTTATCTATGGTTGTGAACCTCCTATAAATTAAAATGATAATTAAGGAATGCAAACCAACACATAGAGTACCAACTAGCAATATAATCCTTTGTTCAGAACATCCACTCAAGTTGAGACTAGTCACAATCATGTCAGTACATATCTACAATTTCTTTCTTTAGCCAAGAGACTAGTAATTAATCAACTACTTACTAGTTATAACCAAGGAGATATTGATAAATAAAAACATAGAAGGAAAGAAAAAATAAAACAAACCAATTATAAATGTCTCTTTCTAGGAGGTTTTTTTTCTGCAATCAACTATTTCAACTTCAGCCGAGGGTGAATTTTGAAGCAAGAAGTCCACAATTCCTTGAAGTTCAGGCGGAGACAGTTCCAATCCTAAATCAAATGCTTTTTGTATCATAGCAGCTTCTTTCTTTGACTTGACGTCCTGTAACTTATCATTGCACAATGCTGGGCAAAGTCCATATTGAATTTCGTCAATTTTCACTTTCAATGACTTTAATTTACCCAAGGAAGGGATCTTAAACTTCAACAGACCAGGAATTAAGGCGAGAACCTACGCAATGAGGGATGCAAGCAGATTAGTCTAATTATGCAAGTCAAATAATGTTTTACAAAGTATAGAAGAAAATAAAAAGGTATCTTAAGAAGAAAGTAAAAACACAGCCTCATGTAAAGTTAAGGTACCTTAAGAGTAGTTGCAGTGACAGTCAATGATTTTATATTAGCAAACTCCAAGAGCCAATTGAACAGAAACAAAGGAGGTCCATAACAACTATATGGAAATACTTGTGCGTCAATATCTACATGTTTAAGAGAAGAAATATTGCTCCAAGAGATATTGTGATAAGGAACACCACGAAAAGCAAATGTACAAAGACTTGGAGTGCAAAGATCAATTTCATAATAGTCGTCTGAGTCATTAAACATAGTAAAATTGACGAGCGTCGCGCTTGATATGCGGAGGGTTCCCCAACCTTCCACGTTACAATGGGAAATGAGCAAACGATTCAACCTATTAAAGGTCGAAAATGGTTCGGCACAATCATTATGGGCAACAGAAAATGTAAAATTCTCTAGTTCCAAGGTAGATAATGCGGGCAAATAGATATATTTTGGAAACAGGTTTTCACAACCATAACAAATAGAAAGGCTAAGATGTGTTAAAGTGTGAGATGAAAATAAAGCAAGAGGAACGTGTGAAATGCCACCATTTACACTAAGTCGTAACCGTTGAACACGGTGTGAAATAGCATAATTGACAATCCATTTAAAAATGGAAACCTCCAAGAGAATAGATCTATTCTCAAAGTCGAGAGTGTGCAGTGAGACAGAGGAATCCCGAAGAGATAAAACCTTAGACACAAATTCAGCGAATATCTTATTAGTTTGAAAGCCTCGAAAATCTGATATATGGAAAATAAGAGCAGGAAGACATTTCCAGAGATGCTTCCATCTCGAGGATAAAATACATGTTCTAACAGCGTGTTTGGTAATCAAAAAAGAGAGTATGTGAAGGATAACGCAATCGGGTAAATCGCTGAGCATGTCTTTCTGTACACTATCACCGACTTCAACTTTCTTCGTCGCCGAAATAGACATTACCCCTAATCAGAAGAAAAATAATGAATCAATAGATCTCGAAAAGCAATACAAACTCAACGGAGAAATAGGAATTACCTGGCGAGTTTGTTGATTTGAGTTGCCAGAAGCTGCGGAATAAAACTCAAACTCAACTTTTTAGATTTGACTTGCAGAAGCTGCACAGTGAAAGAAGCGTAAGAATATGAAATTCTAGTTTTTTAAAAGTGGAAGAAATCCAACAATTTTTGTTTTTTCTAAATTACTTTGAGACTTAGTACGTCTAACCAATAAGAGATTCGTCAGTCGCTAAATGTCGTTATGAATTCAATTGTTTATCATCTTATATTTTTTTTTTTTGGTAATTCAATTGTTGAAATTTCTTTCTCCACTTTAGTGTCTTCTTCTAAATTCATGAACAATTCAAAATATCCTTAAATTTCTTATGTATCTATCTGAATGTATTAAATTTAAATTTTTTATGATTCATTCAAAACAATATAGTCCCTGGTATGATATTACGGGCTCTATCATTAGCAATACCGATAATATTGTTATCAACTATGACACGGATTGCTTCTTCTTCGTCTGAATCAATTGGTGGTGGTATTTGTACTTCGGGCTCTTCTAAATCATCCAGATTAGCTACAAGAGGAACTCCAGGTGTGAGTCTAGTAAGTTTAGTTTCCTCTAGGGGTTTGAGTGTTCTTTCAGATTCAGGATATCCACTGTAGACTGGGCGCAATAATATGTGCATACAATATTGACAACACGTGTCATGACACCAAACTATAGCAGGACGTCAAAAACTCAAATACTTAAAATAAAACAATAGAAGTAAATACAAAATCAGAAAATGTAACAAAAATACTCTCCAACAACGACGCCAAAAACTTGTTGGTTTGTAAATTGCAATACCGGTTGAGAAATGTCGCATGCAAGTATACATGCTTTGATTGCAACAAATACTAAGTATAAGAGTATCGTACCCATAAGAAGTAATTGCTATTTAGATTTGATTTTGTAAAGATTTTATTCTTTTAAATCAAACATGAGTAGAGAAACAATAATATTGATTGTAATAAGTTCAGTGTTACTTATAACAAGACAAACAAGTAGTGTGAAATGGAATGAAGTTGTATTAAGAGAGAATGATTGAGTTGAGCATAGATACGTTAATATCTTTTGTGTATTTATGTGCTAATGTTGTGTGGAGTCATGACAGGCAAGGTCATAATGATCTTTTGGTGTATTCCTACAACATCTAGAACATGCATACAAAGGCAATGGAACAAATCTCTAAGCCTCACTTATAACCCAAATATGCGTCTTTTATAAATCTGATTTGCTTAATGACTGTATTTTCTTATATCTAAGCAAATTTGGCAAGTGAATATCTTTATCCTACTTTTTCAATCATTTTTACTCATGATGTTCCACTTGTTGTTGAATCTCTCTCAACAACAAGTTGTTATCTATTCCTAAGTTGATCAACCAAAGAAATAAATATTTAAGCAAGTTAACACATGGTAAAGCCAGCATGAACCACACAACATATAACATAAACACACTTTAGTATTAACTTCATTAAGCTCAACTACAAAGGATTTAACTCATGATGAGCTAAGTACATGATACGAGCAGAGCTCTTACAATAAAGATCTTAAAGCAAGCAAATGATAAAAGATATAAACCTAAGAGAGAAATTGAAGAGCTCCTTAAGATGGATAGTCTTAAGGAGACAACTTCTGTCACGCAACTGCTCGTCTGTTAGCACTAGAATGGATGAGGAAAACAAACTTCTTCACACTTCACTTTCATAGCACACAAAGTCTTTGTAATTATTTTCTTCGAACAATTGAACCTTTCTTCTTCAGTAAGCTTCTCTTTTTATAGGCCAAGGGTTAGGATTGGTGTCTTGAGTTGGATCATGGGCTTGAGTTTATGAATCACATCAAGCCTGCATAATTTAGAGCCAAAACACCACAGCAAAAACTTAGCAAGCAAGGAAGTTGTACGGAAGGGGACAAAGTGGGAGATAAGGAGGAGTGTGGCAGGATCCACAGCAGGCGCAGGTGGTGCTGGTCTGACCAAAGCAGGGTACTTTTGTACCTTCTTTTGTCTTCTAGCTCATCCACTATCATCTTTGAATTTGAACGGTTTTATTCTATTTTTCTGTACTACCTAAATTTTCCTCCATTTGTTAATTCCTTTCACGCGTTCCTCAAAGCCAACAACTTCTCTTGTTGAAATTCTCTTGTCTAATAATTATTTTTAAATTTCCAACTTGTGCAACTTATAGTGGTCCACCATTGTCTTGCCTTTGCTCAAACATGTTATCCTTTGATCACACAAAACATGATTAAACATTAATTTAACTATAAACTGCATGAAATTAAACTGAAAAAGCAATTAAAATACTAAGAAATAGTAAATCATAAAGGTATGTATTAACTCGCAAAATGTGTGTTAATAGGGACGCGTGGTCGTGTGACCCCTAAAATCAGCAAGACCATCGCTGCCCTTAGTCGTACTTTTTCCCGTCAAACACGATGTAGTCTTCTAGGAACGATAAGACCACACTTGTTCGTGACCGCATTCATGCTCAGAGCAACGGCTAGTTTCAGCCACATCTGCTCGTTACAACGGCTAGTTTCGGGCATCCATCCTAGGATAACAAACATGTGTTGACCGCTCTTGCTTTCACGCCGAAATCCTGGTAGTTACCTATTTTTAGGGACCTAATATCAAGACCCAAAAATAGGAACCAATGGCCAAGCGTCAGAGACACTGTATAAATCCTCACACTTGTGAGCGTCAGTTATTCAATATTCAACATTCACTTTTAAAACCCTAAATTCTCGTGTATCTCTTTGCACTCTTACTTACTTGAGCATCAGAGTGCCTTGCAGGTACACCCCCTCCTCTTTGATTTCAATCTTGCAGACACGGATATAGGTCTTTTACAGGTTCTGATCACCAGTAAGATCAGTGGCGCTGTTTGTGGGAAAATTGTTTTCCATATCTTTATTTTCCTAGAAACTAAAGATCAAAGCAACGTTTCAAGATTTCAACATGGCCGATCATGATGACAGCCACCTTGCTGGCAAAACCATCATCTCCCCTGTCCGCAAGACTGACAATGACGGAGATATGCCTCTTCTCGTAGACATTCCTTTGAAGAGGGACAACTTCACGGCGTCTCCCTCCTCCGAAGAAGCCGAGGATGACAATGCCCATTTCTTGGAAACTAGCAGATCTAATAAAATCCAAGAAGAAGCACCAACAATCTTCTAGTCGGTTATAGTGCCGACCAACGCCGATTTGGCCATGGCTGTCTTGCTCGTAACTCTCAATCATATTAATGCTTTGATCCTATAGCAAAACAATAGGTCTGGTATAACAGGGGCTGCTATTTTAAATCTTGGTAGATTTGATTTGATTGTGTGATATTTCTTTTGGATATATCTCAATTGATTTTGCAGATTAAGAAGATTTAATCTGAAACATGTTTTATATCTCTAGTTGTGCATTGGTTTATAAATTGAGCTTTGAGACAATTTAGGAAACTTTGTATTGGTTGTTCCAAGATTTAAGGATATTTACTACACAATTGGTGCATCACTCAGCTTGTGGATAAAAAAACTTCTAGACTTAGAATTCAAAGTCCATGGACTGCAGAGGTGTATTTAAAGAGAAGACCTAACCTAATGTAATCAGCTCTTTTCAACAATTGTAAAATTAAGAAAAGAAAAAATAGTCTTAGGTTATAAGAGTCTCTTGTGTATTGTGTGGTGTAAGTCACCCTTGTATCTTTTGATACTTGTGGTCTACATTATGTTCTCACTCAGAAGCCTTTAGGCAATGAGTTTATTATTGTTCTTGGATGAAGCTGTTAAGAAAATTCAAGTATTGTTTCTTAGTCAAGAGTCTTGGCTAAGTATTGTAATGGAAGCATAATCTTCTTGTTGAGTTATACTCAATACAATCACTGCGATTGGGACTGTTAGATATCACTGAGGTGATTTATGAAGTGATATCGCGAAATATCTAGGAGTTACCTAAGTGGAAGTTGCATTGGATAGGGATTAGGCGAGAAGTTGTAAATGGGGGAATTTAGCTTCTAATTAATACTGCTGATAATGGACTTCCTTCCTGGTTTGGTAGTCCCAAAATTGGTGATGTTGCACTGAATTAGGTTAACAACTCTGTGTGTTATTTATAATTCTGCAGTTTAAGTTTCAATATTGGTTATAACTTGATAAATCTATTTAAGATGTAAAATCATATGTTATAACATTTGTCTTAATATCGTTCTGATGTTGGAATGTTAATATTTCCATGTGTTGCCTGTACCAGAGAAATTTCATCTTTTATTTTGGCAAATATCATAAGAGAATATACAATCACCAATCCACGAGAATACTGAAGAACAAATTAATAAAATCTTCAATATGGATCTTGACTTGTATATGCTCAACGCCATATTCTTCTGCGCAATCTTTACTCGACCAACGCTTCGAATCTTCCAATATCACCAATATACTCCAAGCCTTCGTGTGTAATAATCAACCTCCTAATTTTACTCATTCCTTGAGCGGTGAATTGTCTGAAGATGTAAAAAGAATGTTGCCTTATATGTAGTCTTCCACACAGTAGAACTTTGGAGCTCCCCCGATTATGGAGGCAATGTTTAGACACTTGAATTTATGATCTTTCTACTGGCATCCTTACTCGTCCCTACGACGTCAGCCTCAATTTTCGTATTGGGATAATGCTCTATCTTTTGCGACTTTATGATGCTCCATTTCCCATATTTCATATATTCATATTGTCATCCATTCTTAATAAGCCCTTTCGTTAATCATGAGTTTTATGGAAACGACAATACATTAACCTATCAGTTCAAGTGGACTCTCAGATCAAATACGTGTTTTTTTTATTTCAACTTTCTTGAACTTGGTGTTAACACATTCCAGAAGAATCCTTTCACGTGAGGTGTTCAACAGATGTCGCCTAATAATAATAGTTAATGATTATCGTTAAAAGAATAGAGCAGGAACGAACCTAAAAGTTTAATTTAATAGTACCGTTCACCAACTTAGGACTGAAGACGAATGTGAATTTAGAAGTTAGGTGGAGTACTTGTCGTCGACATGAAATAAAGAGTTCGATTGAAGTGGATGTGAAGATTTCAAAATTCGTTGAAGATACTATCAACATGTTATAATGTACGGAACTACCCGTTTAAAGCGACGTGTAATGTTAATTTTTCAATTATAAATTATCTATATAATATTGTGTTTTAATTTAATGTCAAATTGTTATAATTATCAATTATAAGTTTTTCCATACTATCTTTATTTCTGTTTTTTAGTTGAAGTATTTACGGATATACATTTCTGAAACACATACATCTTCGAAATATAAGAGTATTTTTTATTTTTCGTCGAAAGTTTGAGACAATCTACAAGAGACAGAAAAGAAATTGCGAAGATTTCAAAGAAACATTCATGAGAGAAAGATTCAAATATTGTCCGATGGTCCCACATTATCACCGCCTGGATGTTTACTTTCAAATTAAGGGATAAATTTGTTGCAAGATTAGTAACCATGACCCCACATATAATGGATTATAGTTCCTTGACTACGAAATTTTAGATCCGTTTTTCTTGTTTTTTTTAATGATTTTTATAATATTATATAATTTTGTATAATTTTTTTTAATAATTTTTATGATATTATATAATTTTATATAAAAAAATTTATAAAGAAACTTTTCATAAAAATTTCAAATAAAAATTTAATTTAAATAGTTATTTTTAAAATATTATTTTAGATATTTCATTTTCTTATTGAAATTCTATATTAAAATTTATAAAAAAAAAAAACACTTAATTTTAAAGCTATTTCACATAGATTATTATAAAAATCATTTTTGAAATAAAACTTTTTAAAAAATTATAATTTTAATCATATTTTAATGTTCAATAATACATATTTATGTTATAGGATGTCAAAATTAATGTTTCAATTTAAAAAAATAAATAAATATAAAATAAGTTGTAATATTTTGAAAAACAGTTTTGTAAAATTTATTTTCAAAAATACAAAGAAAAAATTATTTTTTTAAAATTGAAACAAATAGACCCTTTATCTCGTAATTAAACATAACTTGTCATGGTTCAGGTAGGTAGTTAGATCAAGGCATTATACAACAAGAATATGATGTTTTTGTATTGATTAACGTAAAGACCATTGTGAATCTAATTCCAATTGCAAATGAACAGCTAGATGAATTACACATACCACTCTTTTATTTAACTTGGTTTTTGAGTTCTAGTTATCATCAAACTTTGGTTAAGCCAAATGAGAGGCCAAAAACAACTTATGGAAATCATCAATGATTTTTGGAAATCATCAATCTGAATATGCAAAGTCAATCAACATATGTGAGGGAATTATAAGCAATCACATATGTTGCATCAGATAGGTACAATACATCTAGTATAATCTCAATGAACAGCCACAAACTCCGAAGATTGACAAATAACTTAAACATACATAAATAATATTTAGCACTTCAACTAGTATCAATGTTGCATACTAAATACTGTTACACCAGAACAGCAGAGCTTCTCCCAACTTTCCAAACATTAACAACAACTCCCTGCTTCTATTGTCTATGATGGATCACTAAATAGCAGCTATCAAGTATGAGCATACTTGTATTGTATCCGAACTCTGAAGAATTATAACAACCATGCAGATTCCTGCATGTTAAATAATGTAACGTGAGAAGCAAAAATATGTCATATTGACACGACATTTGAATTTGCATCTACAAATATAACAATAAAGCTGACTGCTAGATACTAAATCAAAATGGCCCTATATGTGACTAAGGATGTGAACCTCCTATAAATTAAAAGATAATTAAGCAATGCAAACCGACACATAGAGTACCAGCATAGCAATATAATCCTTACTTTAGAGCATCCACTCAGGTTGAGGCTAGGCACAATCATGTCAATATACATGTACATTTTTTTTCTTTAGCCAAGAAACTTGTAATTTATCCACTAATAATAACTAGTTATAACCAAATATCTATCCACTAATAATAACTAGTTATAACCAAATATATCTTTATAAACATAAAGATTAGAAGGAATGAAAAATTAAAACAAACCAATTATTAATGTCGCCATCTAAGAGGTTTTTGTTTTCTGCCATCAACAAAATCAACTTCAGCCGAGGGTGAATTTTGGAGCAAGAAGCCCACAATTCCATCGGGTACGAGCGGAGATGGTTCCAATCCTAAATCATATGCTTTCTGTATCCTACCGGCTTCTTCCTTTGACTTTATGTTCTGCAACTTGACATTGCATAACGCAAGGCGGAGTCCATACTTAATTTCGTCAATTTCCACTTTCAGTGACTTCAATTTACCCAAGGAAGGAATCTTAAACCCCAACAGTCCAGGAATTAAAGAGAGAGTCTACAGAATGAGGGATGCAAGCATATTAGTGTAATGCAAGTCAAATAATTTTTTATGAAATTTAGAAGAAAATAAAAACACAGCCTCAAAAGATGTTAAGTTAATGTACCTGAAGAGTAGATGCAGTGACTGTCAATGATTTTATATTAGCAAACTCGGAGAGCCATTTGAACAGAAAGAAAGGAGGCCCACGACTACTTAGAAATACTCCAACGTCAATATGTACATGTTGAAGAGAAGAAACATTGCTCCAAGAGATATCCTGATGAGGATATCCACTAAAAGCAAATGTAGAAAGACTGGGAGTGCAAAGAACAATTTTATAATAGTCGTCTTCGTCTGACTCAATGTACATAGTAAAATTGACGAGGGTCAGGCTTGATATGCAGAGGGTTCCTGCACCTTTCACAGTGCATTGAGAAATGAACAAACTCTCCAACCTACTAAAGGTCGAAAATGGTTCGGCGCAACCATTGTGGTCAACATAAAATGTAAGATACTCTAGTTCCAAAGTAGATAATGCTGGCAAAGTGAGAGATTTTGGAAACGGGGTTACAACAGCATGATGAATAGAAAGCTTAAGATATGTTAATGATGGCAAATTGAGAGAAGTATGGTGAAAGCCACCATTGAAATTGGAAATAGCAAGGGTGAGATGTTTTAAAGTCTTAGATGAAAATAATTGGAGAGGAATTTGTGCAATGCCACTAGCTGCACTAAGTCCGAACAGTTGAACATTGTGTGAAAGAGCATAATTGACCACAAATGTGAGTATGTGAGGCTCCAAGCGACAAATTCTATTATCAAAGTGGAGAGTGTGCAGTGAGGTAGAAGAATCGCGAAGAGATAAAACCTTAAACACAAACTCGTTGAATATATCAGCAGATCGAAAGTCTCGATAACCAAAACTAAGAGCAGGGAGACGTTTCCAGAGATCCTTCCATCTTGAGGATAAAATGAATGTTCTAACAGCGTGTTTGGTAGTCAAAAAAGAGAGTATATGAAGGATAAGGCAATCGGGTAAGTGGCTGAGCATGTCTTTGTGCTCGTTCTCACTGACTTCAACTTTCTTCGTCACAGTATTAGACATTCTACGGCTATCACTAAGTTTAACTTTCTTCATCATGGAATTAGACATTCGGATAAGTACCTGATAAAAAAGAAGAAAAAAACATGAATCAATATCTCCTAGAGTCATATTCAACAAACTGCAGGTGAAAATGTAAAAACATGAATCAATATCTCTCAAAATCATATTCGACAAACTGAAATGAAAAAACATGAATCAATACGTCTCGCTAAACTGCAATGAAAAATCAGAGATATAGGAAATACCATGCGAGATTGTTTATTTGAATTGCAGAAGCTGAGGAATGAATTTGGAGGAATGTTGGAAGGAACTCAAACCAGAAAATACAAGAGATTTAAATATGGCTGTTGAGAATATGAATTCGGCGATAAATGAGAGAAAGGAAGGGTAAGGGTTTGTTTTTATAGCCAAAGTGACCGACTCCAACACGCGGGTATTTCTCCTTCTTTCGCGATATTACCATTTTACCCTCGTCTATATTCTCAATTCTTTTTCTTAAGATCCAAATTACTACTATTAATAAGAATTTAAACATAATGCATTAACATCGTAAACAAATATTACATATACAATCAATCAAAATCTTTATACTTGCTATTTCATATTAATTTTTTAAAATTAAAATTATATTTTAATTAGATATATATTTTTTATTGATTCACACTATAAAAATATTTTATATTATCAAAGCATATTCTTTTTTCTCTAATAATAAACTAAAATATGTTAATTAAAAATTAATAATTAAGAGATTAATTGCATCACAATCACTTATTAATGTTATTTAATAAATAATTAAAATTAAAATATAATATGATTACAATCTAACAGTTATAATTTGGTGTAAAATTTCTTTACGTCGTTAGTGTATTCCAATTAAAACAATATTTTTTATATTTTTAAATATTAATATTCTTAATATAGATTAAAAAACTTTCTACTTGAAATTATTGTTTTTATTTTTGTATTTATATTTTTATGGAAAATGATATCTTGACACCAAAAAATTACACTACACCATATATACTGTTCACAAATACCTGAATAATGTTTTCATATTATTTTGATTTTTTAATGTATTTCTCTCTAAAACTACTTTAGTTAATGAAATATTAAAACTTAGTTAATACAGTTCAAAATTTGGTTAATATGTATTCTGACATAAAAATATATATATATATATATATATATATATATATATATATATATATATATATATATATATATATATATATATATATATATATATATATATATATATATATATATATATATATATATATATATATATATATATATATATATATTTATATATATATATATATATATCCTTCACACTTTAGTTAATATTATGTATAAAGTTGATTATTACAATTCATAACTTGGTTAATGAGTTCTCGGACATAAAAAAATTATTAAATAGTAAAATAAAATTGGTTAATGGAGTATAAACATTGGTTAATACATTTATAATTTAGTGTCAGAATATGATTAATATTATGTATTTTATTGGTTAATGAAGTAGTAAAAATGGTTAATGAATTATAAGTAAAATAATTGATTAATGACGTAAATTTTTGTGATTAATACATTTATGAAATTGGTTAATAACATAACTTTATATTTATATTATAAAATAAATTTTAAAAATAATTATTTATTTAAAAAATAATATTATTTTAATAAAAAAGCATTGTTCACCATATAAATACAAATACAGTAAATAATATATGGTATAAATATTTGGTGTTTAATGTGGGCATAGCAATCCTCTATTTTTATTGTAAGTATATATGTTGAATTTGGTAACAAGTATAAATTTAAAAGATTAAAAGTAGTACACTGTTAATATAAATTAGTTTTATACTATCGTCCAATAGAATTATAACATTCAGTCATATCATATCAATATTTTAAAATTAAAAATGTGATTTGGTAAGATAAATACTTTACATTGTCAATATATTTAAACTTGTTTATTTCCAATTATATTTTTCTAAACATAATATAATGTATTTATGAACTTTAAATCCTTCAATCTTATACGAGTTTTTCTAATCGTTTGGAAGTTCTGGACTGATCCGACGATTAGAGTGGGTCCAGTCTAACCTCCTCTTTCGACATGATTTGTGCAACCTAGGTCTGGACTCCCGCGCCCCTGTCGGGCACCATCGATCGCTTGTCCTCCTGGACCAACATCAACCTACGATGACCGACGAGCGCCTCTCAGTCTGCCCGACCTCAAGTTAGTCAGACAATCAAGAACCAACTAGACTGCTGCTCATAACCTACCTCCTCCTCAAAACCAACGACTAGTTACGGGCACACCTTCTTGGTTTGACCAAGTCCTGACAGTTTTCTATTTTTGCAGACCCACATATCTAGGCCCAAAAATAGGGACCAATGGTCAAGCGCCAGGGACACTATATAAACTCTTACTCATGTGAGGGTCAGGGATCGAATATCCATTATTCATCACTAAAACCCTAACATTGTGCTTGTATCTCTTTTTCTCTCACACATACTTGATCCTCGGAGTGCCTTGCAGGTACAACCCCCTTTTTCCTCCTCGACTTTCCAGCCCGTTTGAAGATCATCATTCAGTCACCTTGTAGGTTCTGATCAACCGATAACATATGTGGCGCCGACTGTGGGGACCCATCTTCCCCGTTTTCAATTCCTAGAATATGAAGACCAAAGATCATCTCCATTCATCAATCATGGTCGATCACAGTGATCACCGCCTATCTGGAAAGACCGTGCTCTCCCTGGCACGCAAGACCGATGAAAGTCAAGAAAATCCTCACCTCGAGGATAACTTCGGCGCTCACGACAGACATATTGTGTCCCCGTATTCCATCGATACTGATTTCGACAACAATTTATTCTTGGACAAACAGTTTCCCAAGAACCATGTCAAAGACCAACCAGAAATTCTACAACTGGTCCTCGTTCTGCAGAACGCCGTGTCATACCCCAAATTTGTTTGTCCTTAGTGCTACCATCAAGTTTATTTTCAAACTTTAATTTTTATAAAATTCTTTTGATTTACATTAATATTTTGGGGTTTTGTAAATATTCGTTTCTAGTTAATTTTAAAATATAATAATTTATTTCAAATTATTTATACTTTTAAATAGAAAATAATTGATTGTCTTCATATGTTTTCAATTGGCTATTTATTTCAAATGAATAATGTAGCACATTTGGTAAGAGAGTAAGGCTTACAAGTTGAAGGTCCTAAGTTCAAGTCCCGTTACACTACTCTTTGGCATTTATATTCTTTTGTATGTTTTTTCAATAAAAATGATTAAAAAAATTCATTTTTCAATTATTTTATTATTATTTTTGTTTTCTATTTTAAGGGTATTTTAAAATTATTTTCTTATTTTTTTAAATCTTTGATTTTATAAACTTAATAGTCAAGATGTTAAAAATAATTGAAATCTTTCAAAACCAATTTTTATTAATCATAAAATCAATCACAATATTGAGAAAAAATCACAAAAGTGTCTTGGTTCATAATTTTGTCCACCAAATTTCAATCAAATCCCAATTGGTATAAATCTTCCCAAAAAATAACTTTTTTTATTATTAAATTATAATTTTCGTATTTTTTAATTAATAATTTTTCAAAAATAGTTTTTTTTCTCACTTTTTTCAATTTTCAATTAAAAAATAACCAAAAATCATATAAAATACAAAAACAACAAAATCATATGATTTGTCACTTTCTGATTGGTCACATGTTGACAAAATTGATTTCTCATTGGTCAGAATTTGTAAACTTGTTGACCAAGATAAAACCAAAAACTTTGGGCTTGGTGTTGACTATTTCCTTTTTGGGGTGTGTGATACGGTGGGAGAACTGACTTGAGGTTTTGCGTTTGTGTTCGCAATTGTGCGGTTTAGCAAGAGTCGCCACCGACTTTTTATTTTATCAAAAGGAAATGTCAAAAAGCACAGGAAAGACCTTTGAGATGTTTTCTTGGGTTCGGGGGGGTAGATTATGAAAAGGGAAGGTGCTAGCACCATTTTCATCCATGGTTATTCATGGGCTCTTAGTTACTTGTTTAGATCACTTGCCTTTGCTTTTCAATTGTTTGAAATGGTGCTTTGTGTGTGGTTTTTGAAAATGCTTTGAAAAAGAGGCCTTGTCTAGGCAACCTTTGTAATGATTCTTGTTTGAATATATACAAAGGTGTGAGTCTTTTTGAAAAGATATTTCAATGTTTTGAAAATTGTTTTTTGAAATTGTGTGGTGAGGTGTGTTTGAAAATAGCAAGGATGTTTTGCAAGCTTTTGATCAAGTAACTAAGAGTTGTCTACCCTATTTTACTTAAAGATCTTTCTTATGTTTTTAACCCTTTTGACAGTGTTGTTTTACCATTGCATTTGGTAAACAACCTTGTGTTTGGACGTTTAAACGGGACGGGTGTGGGTCATCGTATGACCATGATAGAAATAGTGCTAAGTATCTTAGCGAATTTTTGAGGGACTAGATCATTTTGTATAGGCAACCAAGATAGCGTCATCGAGGGACTATGATCTTTTGTTTTGTTTTGTTTTGCCAATATACCTAGCATGCATACCATGGCCATTTGTTTAGACAACCAAGTGGAGATACCTTAAGGGGTGTTTGAGTGCAAGTGTGTTTTATTGCATGCATTTAATCTTAATTAGGGTTATCTATTTTATTGATTTTATCTTGCCATACACGCCTAATTACTATATAGTATAAGGAAAACCATAAATTGCGAGAAATAAAATTCTACGCTATTACAATATTTAGGGGATGGGGGTACATATGTACGAATGGGGATTGCAAGTAAACATAAGCCCTAAGTTACTATTACAACCATATTGAAATACACAGTGTAAGAAAGAAATAGACTTGTTTAGAAAATGTTTTTAAGGAAATAAGTTAAAAGGAAACTATTTTTATGTCTTTTTATGTTAATATATAAAAAAGAAAAAGGATGAAAGGAAAATAAATGCAAGGTAGAAACAACGTGTTGCTGTAAGTAGAACAACTAGGACCAAAATTTTTGAAGCCAAGAGCGTTGTAACTCAGCAGGAGACATCCGTGGAATCAGAAGTTCTGGACTGGTAAACTCTGAGGTCCTGCAAGAAACGTTAGAGGGAAAACACAGAGGCTCTGGATGGTGTTCATCCAGTAAACCAAAAGTCAGAAGTTCTGTATTTCACTAAAATAGTGAGCAAGCGTCAGCAGTTCAGTGTATTTGAC